AGCGTACTGAACATACAGCAAGAACATAGCATGTTGCTGAGACCCTGGTAGAACAGGGGGGAAGCCAGTGATCCTTCAGAGCATGTTTGAAGTCTACAGGGGCTCATAAACCATAGTTTAAGTTAAGTAACAATTACAGTGTGTTGTGGGATTTTTAACCTGAACAAATGACAAAACTGGGAAATGTTGTGTTGATGTTTAAATTAGATTCATGCACAACAAAATGATAAAACTGGGAAGTATGACGTTTTAAATTGAATCCATGTACAAATGGAACAATCTTGTGTGACGACAGAAAGCAGCAACTGGGATAAATGATTGTGTGAAGCAGAAAGACGTGAGCTTGTAAGTTTGTGCGTAAGCTTGTAGGTGTGTGTGCAGGTCATGATGACCTGGCAAGCTAAGTGAGGGCCTCAGCTGAATTCCAAGTTCAGCGGTGGAGAGAGAGATATGAATATGATTAATGATTATGACTGAAAGAAACAAAAATTGACTATTGGTAAGAAAAGTGATGCTCTCCAGTTTCTCCACTGCTGGTGTAGACATGGCAGTTAACATTGACCACAAGAGATGGCTTGAATAAAGAAGGTGTAAACCACCAACAGTCACAACGTCTCTGATGTCTGCCCCCCCCACCTCGACAAGGGGCTACTTGTGTTTCAACCACAGGCTTTTTAGCAGTGGTTGTGTGACACATTTAGCTCAACACTTTTTTTTTTTGTTTTAGATTTGTATTATGGAAAAAAAAAAAAAAATCCATACAGATAGTTTGGTAACCAAGCTAACGCACATATCAGTATGAGCGTGGGTGTTTCCTTTTAGTCTGAGGAAAAGCAGGTGGCTTTAAACAGTGTTGTTCTCGCTCATAATTCAGCCGTTTCTGTACTTGCCGTGCATTACATTTATAAAGTAACCACCCTGTATTTGAAAATAAACCTAAACGTCTACCAGTGAAACATATTAGCTTGATGATGCTACCATTTGGCCTAAGTGCAACCTAGAATTGCTGCAGATTTGTAGTTTTTGTTGTCAGGTTTACTAGTCACCAGAAACATCCACAGATTGTTTTAACTGTCATCTTGACTTGTCTTTCATGGCTTTTCACCCAGAATGTACCAGAATAGAGAAGAAGCAGATGTATAATTTTCATACTTGTACCAAAGGGAGCTGAACAGGTGTGGAACTGTTTTCTTAACATGACTGAGTCGGAGTAATTTAAATATTTCTGGAATTCTTCACAAACACCAAAGTACCTTGATTTCTGCTCCAGGGTACAGGAACCATTCTTGAATCCACTATTGTTATAAACAGTAATTATGCTGCACATTGCTCTATTTGAACAGGACAAGGAAACCTTAAAAGACAAGGGAGAGACTGGAAATGTTTTTTTGTTTGTTTGTTTTTTTGCTGTCTGCTACCAAGTGGCTGCATTAGACAGTCTGACCTATTACTCACTGAAAAACTAGCAAAGATCCTGTGAAGAGACATTAAGGTGACGCATCCGTGAATTATTTTAATTCATCTTTTCATCAAGGATGTAAGAACTGTCTGTAATTTTATGTAGTGTAGTAAGACAATTACAGCCATCTTTTCCTCAACGGTGGGTTTAAACTTGTTACCTTCTAACTTATTCATAAATAGGTATGTGGAGATAAATTCATGAATTCAGATTATTTATTTTAAATGATTGCATTTTCCATTCTGATTATGTAATACCAGTCATGTACTGTCCAATGTATTTTAATTCAGACTGATTCTGATCTCGATGATCACAGGTCATTTTGGTAAATTTGTGACTTTCCCCTTACACATACGGTAGCAACACACAAGTCAAATGATACAGGTTATTGGTGATACTCTCACTTTGATTACAACGCTGAGTAAAATTACTGCAAATTCNATGGCACAAATGTTTCTGTGAATGCATTTACACCCCTGAGGGTACGAGAAACTAGTATGGGGAAATTTCCTGTTTTGCCTAATTGGTACTCTCGCCTTGTAGCTACTTGTGAAAAATATGAAGTCCAAACGGGTGTTGTGACTGAAGATCAGTGTGTTTTCATGACTTGTGACTTTGTATCAATGTTATTGTCAGACGAGACTAAAGAGACACCTCAATGACACGTCTAAACTATAGGTTATTTAAAAATGTGTTACTTTTTAACATATGTATATGAACTGAAGTCAGAAAAGTTAAAATGTGGAAAAATTGTTAAAAATAGAGTGATGTATCATGTTTTGTTAGCATCTCATAATACCAGAGCAGAACTTGAATATAGGAGTTATGCCAAACTTAAAACTCAGTGCTCTGGCTATGTTAATATGCTACCTTCTTACTGTTGACCAGATTGTTGTTGTTTTTTTTAAACTCAAATTAGAAAAATATTATTAAAAGAATCTTTTGATAAGACAAAACTACAATCTCTGATTCTGAAGCCTGAAACTACGACTTCTTCACAAGGTTCAGAGTTCATCTTTAGCGTTGTTAAGCAGTTGACCCACCCAGACGCATTGTGCAAGACAAGAAATACACATTACATCGTCAACAGACAACACCTGTATTTATGCACTAATGTCTAATTGTATGAAGACTACAGGGGTTTTTGTAGTCTATTGGGCTCAAAGCTGCCCCAAATCAAAAACAAATTCAAATAGAATTAATCCAAAAAAGACTTTGTTTCATTTGAATGAACGTGTTGTAAAATAGTTTTCTAAATGAAACATCACACCAACTGCTTTCCACCACATGATGGCAGCAACACAAATGGAAAGAGAGAAGGGAGGTGTTGGTGTGTGTGATGTTTTGTTACAGTAGTGAGGATGCAACACCATCAACACTCAGGTACCACATAGTGGCTTTTTTGTAGTCAGTCAAATTTGGAGATATAAGATAACAATTTAAATAGATCTGAATTGTTTAATTTTGGATTAACCTTGTTTCACCAGTATTTTTTGTTTATTTATTTTTTGGACAGATTACAGATGCTAAACCTTGGTGTAATAATATTCTGTGTTTTGATGCCATTGGATATTCCTGCCTTTGTGCTATGGTGCAAATATGTTTGTGTTTAATGCAAAATGTACAAAAAGGTCTTCACTGGAGTTTTGTGGAACAGGCAATATTTCTATAACTGTCCACAGCCTCATTATTTTAGCACATGTAGAGAAACTAACACGTAACTTCATGATGTCACTTCATAGATTTAACTGCTCTTGGTCTTGTTGTCCTCACATAGACATCCTGGTCAGGAATCACAGCAAACCTTTATATCAATAAAAGTAAAACTGACATCACACAGGAGAAATGTCATTTAATGTCTAATATTTCATGTGATGATCTCTATTTGCTCCTTGATCGGTTTGGAGGACATATATGTCAAAGCTAAGAGCAGAATTTTAGTATTTAAATGATTTAGAAGCAATTTCAGAATTGTTTGCTATCCATGTTAATGTTACATTACAGCCATTGTAAAAAAGTACGTATATCCTTTTCTGCTGCAATAAGGCAACTGTTGGTAGCTTCTTCACAGGAAATTTTGATCAAAAGAAATCGGTCATGTTAATTATAGCACCGAGTCACTGGTTTACATGACACACTGTCAAAACCAAATTTATCTTGCTGTCATGTATATGATGTTTGGAAAGATGTGGTTTAGATTATTTCCACTTTCATGGTACACTTAAAACTCAACAGACCAATGAGATCATTTTAGAATTGTTCCCACCCTTTTCATTGTTTCCTCCCATTAGACAGACACTTTAAGATCAATCATATTGCAGCGTGATCTCAATTCACTTGCATTAACCAGAACATGTTGATCATATTTTGCGTGTCTCTTGTGTTCACAATCGGGCGTAAGTATACAGACAGATTTCACTTCACATTTCTTAGGTTTCAATTATTGCTGGCTTGTTACAGTAGCTTTTGTCTAAATGTGTATTCAAATTGTTTTTTAGGTTGCACAGACGACCTGAGCTTTGTAACGAAGACTGTTGGCGTTGGACAAGATGTGACTCTAGCATGTAGCCGTAACTCTACAGCAGGAGGAATTTTGTTTTGGTTCAGGCTTGTTGCTGGAAACTTGCCTGAGGTTTTGGGAACAACTTACTTTTATGGTCATGCCATATCTAATGAGACTCCTCGCATCACAGCAAAGCTAGGGAATGGAACGTTTGTTCTGCGTATTACCCAAACAAAGCTGAGCGACACTGCTCTTTACTACTGTGAAGAAATGGCTGAACGACGAAAATCATCTTCAAATGTTACTTTTCTTACAGTCAAAGGTAAATGGATCAATATTTACCTTTTTGATGCTCAGTTTTTGATTTGCTGAAGTTGCTGGTTTGCTTCATATTTGCAAACAAATTTAATTGTCATGGGTAATTTTGGTGGCGTCCTTTGTTCATAATTTCGAATGAGCACTTAAGCACTTGCCATTCATTTTTCTGTAAATCCATTTGACTGTTCTGTTTGTTCTCATTTCCCAGGTCCAGAACCAGATATCACTGCTGTCGTCCAGGACGTCCCATCTGATTCAGTCCGTCCAGGAGACCCAGTGACTCTGCAGTGTTCAGTCTTCTCCACCTCTGAGAAGAAAACATGTCCAGAACAACACAGGGTGTTCTGGTTCAGAGCCGGATCAGATGAATCTCATCCCAGTTTAATTTATGTTCATGGAAACAGTCATGGTGAATGTGAGACTAGTGCCGAGTCTCACTCTTCTCAGAAATGTGTCTACAGCTTCTCTCAGGACGTCGACGCCTCTGATACTGGGACTTATTACTGTGCTGTGGCCACATGTGGACAGATATTATTTGGAAATGGGGCAAAGCTGGACATTGAAGGTAACCACCTATTTTTCATTTCAATTTTGATGGTTGTGATTTAATCTTGCCTTTTAAGTTGACAAAAACATATTCAAAGCTCATATTTGAAGTTTTAACTTTGTACTCTGCTCATAGATTTCTGTTGTTTGATCCTATTCTCTTTCAGCAGCCAACATCTCAGCATTTGGTGAGAGGGTCAATACAGTTCTGTTTCTGTTGTGTGCTGCTCTGGTCATCAGTTTGATTGTCATAGCCCTACTGATTTATACCATCAAGACAAAGAAATCTGATTGTTTCAATGGTAAACTTTCTTGCATTATATTAATCTACACTTTATTATCAGTGTATAATGAAACTCTGTTCGTCCTTACTGATATTATTCCTGGTTCATCCAGCTGCTGCTGCCCCACAAATAAATGCTCCAGTAACCAGTGGTGTTCAACGAAGACAGACGGTAGGTTCTTTCAGAGATATTGCACTGGTACATTTGTGTTCATAGCTAGCATTTAATTATGTTTCCGATGTTTTTCTACAGACAGAAGAAGACTCATTGGTTTATTCTGTCCCAAACTTCACAAGAAAAAAAGCTGGCCGACGCGTAAGAGAGGGTGCAAAAGTAGTCGAGGGAGAGAGCATCTACTCTGATGTCAGGGTCTTGGGGTATGAATAACAACATACACACTGAAGGTCCACATTGATGTTAAGTTTGTATGGTATGTTATATGGGAATATTTAGAAACATGTTCAGTTTTGTTACATAGAAAAAGTTTCCCTTGAGTGACATGTAAATACCTGTTGTTTATATTCTACCTGTCTCTTGCAGATTTGGTGGATTTTTTTTTGTAAAACTCTGTCAAAAAAGGAAGAATTATTGTTGGATAAATAACAGTTTAGTAAATAGATTGCAGCGTCCAAATTTTTGTTGCCTATACTGTTTATAATTTTTTTTAAAAGTTGGCTAAGTATATGTGAAACTTACTTGTATAACTTTATTTTGTATATTCATGTTAAAGGAGTGTTTATATTTGCAGAGTTTTGTATTGACAGAAGTTTATTTCAACAGTTTTTAAACAATTTTAAGAAAATATTCCAGTTGATTTTAATGAAGACTGTTTGCTGTTTAGAGACTTTAGCTGTTCATTATGCTGTAAATTTTGCAATTTTCAAACAATAAACATTTCTCCTCAGTTGTATGCCTCTTTAATTTAATCTGATTAAACCAAAGTTAAGTTAAATCTGTAATGGTACAGTTCGTGTGCGTATGTGTGTGTGTGTGTCAGTTTGCTAATCAGGACCCCACTGATAAATGTATTTATTCTGCAAAGTGGCATTTTTATTTTGAGAGCATTTCTTTCATATCTGCAATGTCAATGTATAGCGTACTGAACATACAGCAAGAACATAGCATGTTGCTGAGACCCTGGTAGAACAGGGGGAAGCCAGTGATCCTTCAGAGCATGTTTGAAGTCTACAGGGGCTCATAAACCATAGTTTAAGTTAAGTAACAATTACAGTGTGTTGTGGGATTTTTAACCTGAACAAATGACAAAACTGGGAAATGTTGTGTTGATGTTTAAATTAGATTCATGCACAACAAAATGATAAAACTGGGAAGTATGACGTTTTAAATTGAATCCATGTACAAATGGAACAATCTTGTGTGACGACAGAAAGCAGCAACTGGGATAAATGATTGTGTGAAGCAGAAAGACGTGAGCTTGTAAGTTTGTGCGTAAGCTTGTAGGTGTGTGTGCAGGTCATGATGACCTGGCAAGCTAANCATAGTACCGAGAATTCGCCTCATTAGGACGAAACAACTGAGTTAACTTGTTTATTAGTGCTGCTAATGATGTTGGGACTAATTGGCAAAGATGGCGGACATGGTGACGGTCACAGCAACAGAACGACGTAAAGATGGACACTGAGCTGTACCGTGAGTCACACACACTTCATGTTTGTCTGGTTTGGCTTTTTATTTGCTTGCTGATATTTTTTTTCCTGATGTTTAAATGTTTTTTTTTTGTGGCTTTCTGTGTGGCTTCGAGGCCTTACTGCGTAGCTGTTGGTTTTACTTTTTGCTTTATTTGGCTGAACACTGACGTCTTTGTGCTGTTTCGTGCCTCCTACATGAACACATTTGTAGGGTGAAAGCCTAATTGGCTCTGAACAGTTTGCGGATTCTCCATTTTTTTTATTTTTTTTTTATTTATTTATTTATTTTAAATGGCAGTCACCTGTTGTCTATATGAGAATTGCAGTGACGTTCTGGTGCTGGCATGTTGTGAAAAGAAGAAAACTCTACAAAAAAAAAAAAGCATAACTAAAAATTCTGTAATTTTTGCTGCAGTCTGTACCAAACAAGCCTGTTCCCCTACAAATTGAAGTCAGACAATAACATTGTCAGTACTCTTTCCTTTCTTAAAATCATCTGTGAAAACAACATCATGTGTAGGCTTTCAAACCCTTTTTTTTTTTTTTTTTTAAACAATTTGTCAAAAGTCTATTTGTAAGTGCTGACTGGATATTTGATGACCTGCTGCTGTGTTAATGATTTTCAGGAATGTCTTATAATTACATTTATACAATGAATCATGATGCCATGAAGCCTTATCAGTGCAAACTGGATGCTGCAGGTTTTAAATTGTGGCCGACAGAATATTTGCAGATGCCTGGAAGGACGACTCCAATAGCAATACAGACAAGTGAAATATCCAATTCACAGCAATGTTTTTTTTAAAGACAAAGTGGCAAAGCTTAACCTTGAAATATCATCCAAGGTCAAATATAACACCACCAATGGAAACCCCAACATGGTTACTTATCTGCACCAAATACCACAAATCCACCTTCGACCCTTGAAAAAGTGACTTTTGACCTCTCATGGAGCTATTTTTGCACTGATTGGCCCCAAAAGACTGAATTGTCAAAACACAAACATACAGACAGCAATAAAANATATTCCTGTAACTGAAAATCTATTGCTCTTAGAGAATTGTCAGGAAACAAATTAGTGAAAAAGGGATGCTCCTTAGAGCCAATTTAAATCCCCCAATTCTGAACAGAACCTCCTCTGGAGCAGGATAGCTGTGCAGCATAAGTTACCATCTAGCCACCCTGATAACATTTATAGTTTTGGCTTTAGGCTCAACCCATCTCACTAAATCGTTAATCTTGCTTCATAATACAGCCCTCTGGACTCCAGTGTGATGACGCACTGGGCTCTATGTGGCATTTTTTTTTGTTTGTTGGTTTTTTTTTATCCAGGAGATGTCAAAATCAGTGAAAGGGGAATAATTTCACATTGATCAGCATGTTGCAAATTTAGTAAAACAGGCTTCTGGACTCAACCCCAAATTTGGTGTCTACAAGTCTGTCAGTGATGTACTGGATCCAGGAATTCCCAAACTTTTGAATACAAAAAGTCCTGTAACCACAACTTATTATATTTTTTTGTGTGTTGCAAAACTTACTTTTAGTCTCTTGAGAAAACAAGGACTGAAATCACCACCAAGCAGAGAGCCAACAGTGTCCCAAGCACAATGATTGCTGGGTCCCATGTTTGTTCTGAAATCATAGAAAATAATATTAACGGTAATGATAATAATAATAATAATAACAAGCTTTATTGTCGTTGTACAAAAATACAACCACATTTTTTTGGCGTCATCTTTGTATCAGTTAATATGGTCTCAGTTCTAAGAAAGAAAAAAAAAACATTAAAAGGTGATATAAATAATAAAATTGCAATAAAATAAATGCTCTATTAAAAGTGCAAAAGAGCATTTGCAATGAGCTGTAAACTGGGAGTGTCATGGTTCCTGCAGCAGTCGCTTCACGGCCATGAGGGAAAAAAAGCTGTGTTTTTTGTACGGGCTCTCATGANACAGATAGTTTGGTAACCAAGCTAACGCACATATCAGTATGAGCGTGGGTGTTTCCTTTTAGTCTGAGGAAAAGCAGGTGGCTTTAAACAGTGTTGTTCTCGCTCATAATTCAGCCGTTTCTGTACTTGCCGTGCATTACATTTATAAAGTAACCACCCTGTATTTGAAAATAAACCTTAACGTCTACCAATGAAACATCACTGAATCAGCATTGTCATTGTGGGACTATTAGCTTGATGATGCTACCATTTGATCTAAGTGCAACCTAGAATTGCTGCAGATTTGTAGTTTTTGTTGTCAGGTTTACTAGTCACCAAAAACATCCACAGATTGTTTTACTGTCATCTCGACTTGTCTTTCATGGCTTTTCACCCAGAATGTACCAGAATAGAGAAGAAGCAGATGTATAATTTTCATACTTGTACCAAAGGGAGCTGAACAGGTGTGGAACTGTTTTCTTAACATAACTGAGCCGGAGTAATTTAAATATTTCTGAAACTCTTCACAAACACCAAAGTACCTTGATTTCTGCTCCAGGGTACAGGAACCATTCTTGAATCCACTATTGTTATAAACAGTAATTATGCTGGACATTGCTCTATTTGAACAGGACAAGGAAACCTTAAAAGACAAAAAGCTGAGTTATAAGGGAGAGACTGGAAATGTTTTTTTGTTTGTTTGTTTTTTTGCTGTCTGCTACCAAGTGGCTGCATTAGACAGTCTGACCTATTACTCACTGAAAAACTAGCAAAGATCCTGTGAAGAGACATTAAGGTGACGCGTCCGTGAATTATTTTAATTCATCTTTTCATCAAGGATGTAAGCACTGTCTGTCTGTAATTTTATGTAGTGTAGTAAGACAATTACAGCCATCTTTTCCTCAACGGTGCGTTTAAACTTGTTACCTTCTAACTTATTCATAAATAGGTATGAAATGAATGAATGAAATGAAATGAAAAATACTTTATTCATCCCAGAAGGGAAATTCAATTATGTTGTATGTGGAGATAAATTCATGAATTCAAATTATTTATTTTAAATGATTGCATTTTACATTTTGATTATGTAATACCAGTCATATACTGTCCATTGTATTTTAATTCAGACTCGCTGATCTCGATGATCACAGGCCATTTTGGTAAATTTGTGACTTTCCCCTTACACATACGGTAGCAACACACAAGTCAAATGATACAGATTATTGGTGATACTCTCACTTTGATTACAACGCTGAGTAAAATTACTTTCACCAAGAATGTTTTGCCTTATGATTTGGTGCAAACTACACAGCAGTCATACGCACTCTGACCATTTTGACAGTAATCCAAGTGTGTGTCTTAATGGTTGGAAGTGTGTGAATTTTAAATCATTTACAACTTCTGTCACATCTCTGTTATTTCCATGTTGCTATTGATGCTTAAACTGCATGATGCGTTACATTTTTTTCCCCTTGACAGTTGCTTCGGTGTGAGTTGTGGTATTGTCAGAGAGTGGAGTTCTTTTGATGTGGCGTCAGGTTTGCAGGGACAGAAGCTGGTCATGGTGGTTTTGGTGGCCGTTTAGTTCTTCCAATGCACTGTTCTTTGTGAAGGTAGTGTTTTCTCTGTGAGACATCTGTTGATCAAAAGTGGACATTGTTGCCAGTTTGGGGATCATGTCTTCAATTCCAGACCAAGAGAAGGGAAATGAACATCTGCTGTGTCAAGAAAATTATTCAAGTTGGATTGCACATAGCCAATAAAGCCTGTGATTTTTGCATTGAAGAAGTTGGCAAATTATAAATTGTATATCAGCATGCAATATGTCACACATATCAGTGTGCAATATGTGATTGTTTTTACCCGTGTTAGGCCTAAATCTATCAGTCACTCCAACATAACACCATCAGAACTTACTCAATATAGCTGAACAGCAGAAATACCACATTGTTCTGGCATATTGTGGTCTCTAGAGGTATTTCCTTGAGTATCATTGTACTATGAGCTGGTAAATTAGGTACTCCTGNTATTTTTAACTTTGCTTTGGTAAGTTAAGAATAAAGACATCAGAATTTAATATTAGGTATAAAATTTAAATGCCATGCGTCATTCAGATCACGAGTGTGCTGGGAACAGATTGTGGGACGATTGTATTGAAAGTAATACACAGTACAATACCAACAGATAAACTGGGATTTTACTTTGTTTTCTCCATTTGTGACCCATCTGCACGAAATCAGTCCTATTGTGCCTTGGACTGTATCCGAGATACAGCCCGAATTACATTAACCTATGATAAAACATTGGTTTATTACTTAGATTGTTCCATTTACTTGTTTTCTCCATGTAGGTGACATATATTACAGAGCATAGTAATATTACGCTCCATATTGCTGTCAAACACCATCAGGTGCAATACGACTGATTTCTGCAGATGGGTCACATTTATTCCTTTAAATATATAAATAACACTGTTTCACAAAAGTTACTGCTGAGATTTCTGAATGTGTGCACAAGTATTTACGCAAAGTCAAAGTCAGTGCTCAGGCTATAATTAGAAAAAAAAACAGTCTCATAAGATCTTTGCATGAATAAACCATTTCATTCATGTACTATTTAAATACGGTTTTAAAACTTCAATTGTTTTGATAAAACTGAGAACACATACTTGTCTCCACTTGAGTTCCTTCACCAAACAGGATCTGTCCACACGTGGCCACAGCACAGTAGTAAGTTCCAGCATCTGAGGACTCTCTTATGGTTTTGGACAGACGGTAGTCGCAGCTCCTTCCCTCCTGTCCATCACTGCAGGTACTGTCAGTGTAAATGATGCCCGGATTGGATTCTGATCCAGCTCTGAACCAGTGCACACGGTGTTCACCTGGACACCGACTCGTGTTTTCTTCCTTCTTGTAGACAAGTGAACACCTCAGAGTCACAGAGTTTCCCAGCTGGACCGACTCCACGTCTGGACTTTGTTTCACGTAGACCGATTTCTTCTGGTTTTTAGGATCTGTGTGATTCACATGAAATGAAAAAAATAGAACTATAGTTGTTTTGTTGTTGACACAGATATAGAAAATTAAATAAAATGAATATGGTTTACCATTCACAGCCAAAAGTGTGCCATTGAAAAACACCATTGATATTGAAGATCCTCCTTGACAGAGGTATGTTGCTTCATCTTCTTTTCTTACATTTCTTATGGTCAGAGAATACACATCATGCCGTTTTGTGAACCTGAATCTTGAGCTGTTAAAGGGATATTCAAGTGTTGTTCTGTTCAAATATCCCACAGCAACCCTTTGAAACATATTTCCAAAATTCAGCTTGTGCCAGAACAAAAACCTGGGTTGATCCCCAGAGCGTGAACATGTCAAAGTCACGTTATCTCCAAGGTCAGCGACAGTCAACGAGATCCGGTGAGAAAACTCATGGCTTTGAATCAGAGCTGAAGAAACAGACAATAACAGAACTTAGCAGACAGCA